GAAAAGCAATTTACGTAAATAATACATAGGAAGACCTTAGGCTTGGAAAAGGATAATAAATATCATCCCACAATAGTCATTTATTGCGAGTGAGAATTAAAAAAGAAAAAATGTTACAGAGACATATAAAAAGTAAATCTTATTAAATAACACGAGTAGATGAAATTAATTTGAATCGGTAATTAACCATATGCTTTTACAACACAAGGTACTTGGCATCTTGTACTAATAATGACCTTGACGTGGGCAAATACTCAAGGATTTTGTTTATAAAATTATTAGTACGTTGTTCATATATAATTTTGCAGTCATACCGGGATTATATGGTACATGGTCCCAATTACATCACCCAGTAGAGCCATGAGACGTCCTCGTAAATTGCGAAAGCTGGAGTTGTTTAGACAGTGCTAATACTATGTAGTATGGTTTAATCATCTGTAATACTAATGCACTTAGTCATATAGGTACATCGCACAGTCTACTTATTTAGTTTACTAGCTTTTACCCGCGACTTCGTTCGCTTGATCGAGATATATTCTCTAACCAGAATAAAAGGTAGAATTTATTTTTCTTCATTCCATATACTACGAAAATACTATATTTCATACTGATTGGTTAAGCCGTTAAGACACAAAGAGGTAACAAACTCATATTCACATTTATAATATTGGTTAGGATTGTTTTCTTCGTCGTTGCTTAGATAGTGATTAGCCCAATTTCTTTTTTAATCGAAACATCATACTTTCTTATCGATGACACACTAATTTTGTTAAGATTGCACATGTAATAAAATTCAATTTGACAATAATATCTATAGGAAACATTAAAAAAAGATTATATAACAGATGGTAATAAAGTAACAGAAAGTAAAACAATTTTTTAAAATTTTTGTCTGTTTGTCTCTATGTTTTTTCTGGAGTGGTTATCACAGTATGTTTCCGATGGTCAAACTTATAATCTTGTGTATAATTTATCTTGATACACCATTTATAGGTGGTCTATTTTGTTAGTTTATAATAATCTACGGATACGAAAACGACGGCAAATCTAGCTATTTTATAAAAAGAGGCAACTATTTTTAAATACTAATAAAAAAAAAAAAAACATGAAATAGTTAATTACCCTCAACTGCTGGTGACTCATTAAATTTTTGGACTTCTATTTCAATGTCAAAAGCAACAGTAGCAAACGTTGACATCCTCACGATGTTGTGACTTTAAGAGAGAAAAAAAAAATGTAAAATCTGAGTAAAAGCATCAAAATATACTCATTTGTCATTTGCATCTTTTCGACGAGAGTTTAATTTTAAGCATTGATTCATAGTGTGTAACGAGCGTCGACTGCGGACTCATCAGAAATAGTTCCAGGTTACGTCAAACACGAACGGTTTTTTGTTATTTTTGAGAAACACCTACAGATCAAGGCCGGAATTAAGTGAAAATGCAATAAGAATTACAGGTAAAAATAGATTTCTAATGAATTAACTACAGGATGAAAAGAAAGTTTGGCCGTTGTGGCTGAGAAGTTTTGTCTATTAAATCAAATAAAAAAAAAATTGTTGAATCAATACCATAATTTGTATCTCAATTTTAATATTTGATATCCCTGTAATATTAAATATTATTAATAAAACACGGCGATAAGTATATCAGCTGCAACGTTAGTTTCCAATAAGTTCAATATAAATTGGGCTAGGGTTTAATGTAGGTATAACTACGTTAACAACTGTGGTACTCGACAATACAGTTATGAGTAGTATACGTCCTATTACACTCTCTTATTTTATTTATAAAATATTCTTAGAGAATAAGTTAAAACGTAATATGTCATAGTAATCTTAAACAATTTAAGGTGGTGACAAACAAATAAAGTATAATGTCGTTTATAAATACATATAGCCTCGAGTTGGCATTCAAACATTTTTCTTCTTTTTATTCTATAAAATATAAATAAAGCAAATAAATGACAGAATGATGTAATTTCAAACGGGATATATATATATATATATATACACATATACATAGTTTATGTCGTTGTCATTTACCACTTATTGATGTAAACCAAACACTTCACTTGCCCACATTTTGCAAGTATCTATATTTAATGTTAACATTATACATTTTATTATTAATTAATAAAATGTATAATGTTAACATTTTCAAGAATTTTCATGATCTCCTTAACCAGGAGCCAATATAATAAATGTATTTATTAAGAAAATCCAATAATTTATTAATTAAATTCCATGTTCTCAAGAACCTACTTTCAATTTCATATCCAATTAAGTACTCCTAAGTAATCATTTACTCAATTATTGTGAGTATGAAATTGGATATCACTGTTACCTATTAATCTGTAAAAATCTCTACTAAATATAGGTACTGTGTCTACTGCACGTACCTCAAATACCTAGTAGATACCTATTTAGTCCTGGCTAACTGGTCCGACTTTATCCTCAATTCCGTACATACTATCCTACATTAGTACCCCGCTAGCATAAAACGATAGCGCTCCGCTTGCATTTTGTGTTTCCATTTTATTTTCATCAATTAAAAATAAAATAATTCGGTCGGGAGTGCATAAAAATGCTCTCTAGTCTCAAGCAATGCTCCATTATGCTCTATATAGAGCTAACGATCTTTTAGTATTCCTGTAGTCTTACTGTAAATAAGCATACACCATCACGAACTGATTAATTTGAAGTTATATTGGTTATTATGCTAATATAAATATATATAAGAATATATTCAAAGTTGATAGTATTTATGTACGAGTAATAGGAATAATTCAAGCATAAAGTACGTATATTAGAAGCTGTTAGGAAGGGAATATAACATCAACAAAAAAGTTGTCAATTTAGTGTGACATTAACTTTAAAGAAAGATATCTACGCAACGGTCTCGGTGACAGCACACTTAAGTCGTGTTAATGATGTTCTATTTTACTCACGCGTACACCTTGCGTCAATCACATAATTAGCACAAACAAATTAAGAGAGCACTTTACCAACAAACACTGTTTCAGGCATGTCGTTCGTTTGTATTCCTTCGGTGTCGGTGGTGTACTACGAATAACAATACAAGGTACAGCCACATTTTGTACGACAGGCTCTAATTCTTGCCAAATTCTTTCCACTAATGAACAATCTCTGTCACCAGTGGGCGGATTCTTGTACTAAGAAGAGATCAGCCGAAGCAGACATTTCCCAAACGAAATTAAAATGTGCGGCCGTTACACTCTAACCGAAAATAGAAAAGTTTTCATTCATTAATCTCGTGTCAATGAAGAATCATTTTAAAGCTCATGTATTGTGTTTTGCTATAATTCTGTGTGTTACCTACACACAGAATTATAACATGTTAGCATTGAGAATAATGCTATTGAAAATATCCAAAACTATGAAGATATTGCTTAAAGAGTAATAATTACTCTTACTTGCTCACAGCAAATAATCGAGTGAACAATATAAGGATGCTTCAAGTCATTCAACGAGCTATAGAGAGGATAATGTTTGGAGTGTCACTGAGTGATATAATTCGAAACATAGATATCTACAGAAGAATAAAAGTGACTAATATAGATTAATTAATCTGAAAACTGACGTGACAATAGGCTAACCACATAGTTTGTGTACCCGGTAATTGAGGACAAAGAAAGATTCTCCAGTATCGATCTCGTGCTGACAAGAGTAGTGTGGGTTAACCCCTATGCTTTGGAGTGACGATCTCAAAAGTGTTGTAAGAAATAAGTGGATGTACATAAGTGATGCGGTGTTGTACTTTGTGGTAAAATATGACCTAGAGAGAGGCCAGCAGCGGATAAAAGCTGGATTGGATAGCTATACTTAATGACTATTTACTCGTAAAACAATATGATCATCATCATCATCTCAGCCATTATCTGTCCACTGCTGAACATAGACCTCTCCCATAGACTGTCATAAGGAATGGGGCTGAGCCACCTGCATCCACTGACTCCTTGAAATGCACATGAGGTCGTCGCTCCGTCTAGCCGGGGGTCGTCCTACATTGCGTACAATAATATGATAATATTTGTTAATTATAGATGCATTTTAATACAAATGAAGGCTATAATTGATGGATTAGAATTAAACTTTCCTGCGATAAAATGTCAAACGCATGTTTGAAGACAGAACTGTGTGTGTCAAAGCTCCGGACGCATTGTACACTCGTCCCTTTGAGGGATCTACTTTAGTTAATAGAACAGATCTTTTCATTGAATTTCAGGATATAACTCAGGGATGCCGAACCTTCGAACGATATATACAGAGATAAAGTAGCAAAAACGTGCGTAGCTTGCACAAACATGATAAATAATATGTATGTAAATGACGAAATAGCCTATTTCTACGTGTTGGATATCATTCACACTTTAATAAAAGTGGTACTGTAATATTTCTAATCTCACAATCTGCGATTGATACATTGTTATTTTGCTAATAATATATGCTATGTTTATGAATATGTTACGCACGATGATTTACACTTAGATTATATAGCTCTAGATGGAGTGTCTCAATACAAATGCTCTGTTAAAAACAGATCAACGTTTTTGTTCATATATACATAAATGGGGATACCACAACGTGTAGTTATTTTATTTATAATTTAATTATTACTCAGTGTATGAGAGAAATGTAAATTTAAATAACCTTTCAATTTACAGTTGAAAAATAACAACAATACCTATATAGAAAATACTTAACGTCTATAAATATATTATATATATAGATGTAGTATAGATTGAACATATTAATATTTGTATCACGTGACAAAAAACAGTGCCCAATTATTTTTTTTATAACTTGCAATACTGAAAAATTGCACGCCATGTTTTGACGTCAAATTCAGACAGTCAAAAACGACGTTTAGCCGATTGATTTTTGATCTCTTTTTGACACTCGATCCTCCATCTTGAGGTATATCATCTAGCTTTACACATAAAGCGCTCTAATATTTTCTACCAGGCTTCGCTGGTACCTTTAGTGGCCTTCATGAACTCTGAATAAATATTGCCGGTCATGTTGAGCTGGCCGTCCCAACTGCGAGCTGATCTCATCTTCGAACGGTCTGGCGGCCAGTAGCTGTCAAATCGGTGGTCAGCGTGAACCAAGGTGTCCAATATCGCCTGCACTTGGCTTGGATCTAACTCTGGCGAAGCAGTGCAATATATTAGTAGCGTTAGTAAGCAGTTCATTGCATTGCTGAACAAATGCGTTCGGCACACGGGCGGCGTATTGCCTGTACTGTTATAGATAGATGATAGGTAGTTGATAAGAGAAGAAGGGCTTCTATAATAAAAGGATTATGTTATAGGTAGGTATATTATTTTATTTACTACAACATCACGCATTAGTAGGTACTATTAAGTTTATTTTATATATTTATTTAAAACTCAAATACCAAAGATATAAGGCACGAATTACAAAATATCACCAAAACAATTTGAATTATTTATTTTATAGATTAGCTTTTTTATTCCAAGTTGTTGTTCCAACGAATGTTATTTTACATTTTTTTTAATTAATAGACTATGAGTTCATTTATGAGTATTTAGTACTTAATTATTATTATGTTTTTACTTACTGGGATATCCCCTACGATTGCGTTCCTCTTCCTCTAACATCCGCAGAACAGCTGAGTTGGCGAGGTTAGCCGGCTTGTCTGTTGCGGGATTGTTGAAATCGATTCTGTAACAATAAAACAATAAGTTTATGGGAGTTACAGAATATCTGCGTTGTTATGGTTTATCTAAGTTCATGGTTTATTACAAATAAGACTGAATAAAAGTTCTTGAATATAATTTTTATTTATCTTGAATTTAATACAATGTAATATTAATTGTTACATTATAAAAAGTACCGTAGACTTGACAGGTAATTTATTTCCGGTTTAGATTTTATCAATAAAAATAAATCGAATGCCATTGGTTGCCTTAAGTACATTCGAAGTTGTATTGTTAAATAACATTAGAAAGTTATCGATTTAACCTATGACATGATCGTCAAGACAAAGACAATGTGAATAGCTTTAATCTGTGGTAGATATGTTAGCGGTTATTATTATTTAATGTTTATCATTGTGTCTATGGTTACATAAGTACTTATGTATAGTAAATATAAATAATAATAGTGTTATATTAATATATAACTAGTGAATAATATATAGATATAGAAAATAATATATAGCCTGCGCTATTAGTTGATCATGTAGCTTTATATTATAGAATTTAAAAAATCGATTTAGTAATTTTAAGATTGTACATTAAAAAATAAAAGAAAATATATATATATATATATATATATATATATATATATATATATATATATATATATATATAATTTTTTTATATGTTAGTATAAATTTATAGCAAACTTTCGGTGGTCATTTAAATAAAATTAACATTATTATAATAAGTACTATTCGTAATTGTATGTAATGTAAATGTAATTTATTGTATAGATGCATGGCTCGTTCATATTGTACGTTCCATAAAAAATATCTAAATGATAGTGAAATACGTATCGAAATCCCTTGCGTAGTATAACAGAAGAAATCGAAAAAATATACGACTTTGTTTCTTACTTTTTATACATTAATGTACTTAAATTACAACGGCTCAATCATGAGTTCGAAACACGCAGAAAACAAACTGTAAGTGCAATCAATACGTACGTATATACATACGAGTATATCATGAAGTTACTGGAAAGTATTGACTATACGAGACTAAAGATAAATGTAACTTTCTTATCAAATCAAAACTATCTGCTTGCTATACATTCATGAATTTACCTTCCTCTGCTAACTTTTCAACTGAATGTTTTGCTTAGATTGGACTAGATAATTTGCGGTAAATTATAAATAGCCTATTACTTATTTCCAAACTTTACGAATTGAGAATATTCAAATTCAATACACGGTACTACCATAGCCGTGTCAATCAGATCACACCCTAAGATTTGCTACATATCTTGTTCCTAAGTCAAAACTCACTTTTATAGATTTATCTATATTTGTGAAAATAGATAAGATTAAAATATGATAATCATATATTAAGTGTTACTTGTATTTTCATATTATTTGTAATTCATATTATTTTTATTCGTATTTAAGCAACCTGGAATGAAAAATATGCTAACGGAATACTTGACAGAAACATGGGCGTATAGACATAAATAGCACCATGGACATTACAAAATATACTGTGACCCCCATAATACCACCTCATTTAATTGCCACATATCATTCTTCAAATTGAAAAACATATTTTATGACAAGTGACAGAGTTACCTATTGTAAACGACTTTTATATAAATTATTTCTCTGATAATAGTGACATTCTCTTAGTACTAATTGTTTGTCGGTGCCGATCTAAAACAACTTCTAGAGTCATTCAGGTAATAATAGGTAATCATATTAATGTTTTAATTATTTTATCATTATTGAGGCATAATTAAAATTTTATAAAACGAAATGAAGAGAAGTGAGAATTAAGTGTACAATGTATTAGGAGTCATTACTATAATTAAATTGTCATGGTGTCCAACATCTACATGCAATTTCACGCACTGCTGACGTTGTCTTCACTATGTGCATACATTCAAGATCATTAATTACACCATGATTCATATCTTGGCTGTGTTAATGTATGAGCAACCGGCTATTTTAGTTTCGATTTTAGGGTTCTGTTCTTTATTGTTGCTGTTCCGCGCGTGACTGAATTGCGTACTTTTATTTTTAAATCGAAAGTGAAAAAGTTTACTTTGCTCCATTCACATATTTACATACTTTTATTGTTTATTACCCCTACTTGTGGACCGCAAATGATGTGAGTTTGCACTTATAAGAATCTAAAACTTTGTGTGTCAATTAAAATCTGTCTGGTGTTGGAAAACGCCATTAATAAATCAAATAAATCCGAGAGACAGTGACAAGTCGACCTACTGCAAAGTTATTTAGTTTGAATGTATTTGAAAATTATCAAGAAATTATATATTATTTTAATAAGCTAATCGATTGTATAACACTTTAAGTAATTAAATAAACCATGTTTTGGCAATGACAATAAATGCTAAGACAAAAGATATTTAAAAAAACCTCGTTACCAAAATAGTATAAAGATATATTTTGTTTAATACTTAGTATGTTTTTTATTTATTTAAAACATACCACAGAATTATTAAGATAAATGATATAACTAGATGCTTCGTCTACAACAATGACGTAGCTTGACAAACTGACTAATCAAATTTATCTAGTGGATTGTAATTTCAAATAACGGAATCGTACATACTTCTTTCAATGGGAACAATTTACATATATTATTTCTCTGTTCCGCTTACGGTACGCTTTATAACACAAATTTCACAATCTATCGTATATGATATGTAATATTTCTTGTTAAGGTACCTACGTAACAAGTTTTCTGAGCTTGGCATTGTTTAGATACAATTCACGTTGAGTTTTTCACAGTCGATATAGAATTGTGAGTTGATGAAGGACATGAGTATGTCTTTTGTAACAACGGTCGCTGAATGTTTGTCAATATATCATTTAATATTCTCAACTATATGCTATAAATAAGGACCAGAGGGCCTACCATGAAATACTTTCGGAAATTTCAGGGACGAACGAAACAGAAATTTGATGTTAAAATTACATAATACATGTCGTATAAAATTATTAAAAATGTTAAAATATCGTTCCTCTGGACTATTAGGATAGGATTTATGATGAACGAAATGTTAAGTTACGGGGTTGATTTCGGTAGGAACAAAAACACAAAATTGAGTTCATTTCATGGTAGACCACCAGCTTCTACTCGCGACTTCGTTCATATAATGGAGATAAAATTATCGATTGTAAATAAGTATTATGTGTATGTCAAATTCGATGATTAGTTAAGAGCAAAGACGAAACTCAGACGATAAAAATAAAGTGTTTCCGTACAGATGTTTCGCCAAAAACAGGTCAACTTTTATCCTTGTGTGCAGAAATAGGGATTATTATAATGTTACTCAGTATATGGAAGAAATTGTATTGTAAAATTAAATAGAAAATAAAAACGATACAAAATTCTTACGCATATATTTGAATACATTCTTTTTTATCAACCCATTATTCAATAATTCAGTAGCTTTTTTCACGATTACATCAACCTCGATGTCAACCACAAGGTTTATTGCCTGTTTATGTAATTTTCTTTGGGCTAAAAATATCTTAAACAAATAAATGAAAAAAGGAGATAGTTTTATTTCTGAAATGATTTTAATTTATATTACATATAAGAAAATATTTTTAAATGCATATAGGAATCTTAAATAATAGGTTAAAAAGTTGCAAACATCCAAGCGCCTCTGTAAAGTTTGACATTTATAATATTAATAGAAGTAGTCTATACGTATATCAGATCTGTATTATTATTATTTAACTTTCCCCAACTCTTTCTATTCTCAATAATCAATTTCTAAAGTCGTTCAAAACTCATGTAAAAACGTTAACAACGTTCATTGAAGACGGAAACTTCGTGGGAAACGTTCATGGTATGAGAGCATGGCGTGTGAGAAATCAGTTTTTTTTTTCATACAGTTTTGTAAATATTCTTGTGATATGTTTATATATAAATACAGTTTTAATATTTTATAACTATCATAATTGTTTTCAGGTGCAGTTTCCGTGGTTATCCAAAAGTTATATGTACTGTTTACGATTTGGAAATTTATTTTAATCCCCTTCATAAATATGTTGATAGCATATGACTTCAGGAATAAGTGTGTAGGTGTACATGTGAAGTTATTTTTTTAATATCTCTATCACATATCATAGCTATATAGCAAATTCATGAATGAACCGAATAATTTCTTAATACATGAGACATTATTAAACTTAGGTTAATAACAAGTCTAGATCATGTACTGATCATGTATTAGAACTGGTCAACTGGTTTATCCCTGAACTATTCATATTACCATAACGTACATTAATTATTTAGTATATAATTGAATTTTTTTTTTATACAACTTAGAATGGCAAACAAGCTGACGGCCCACCTGATGGAAAGTGGTAACCGTCGCCTATAGACATGAGCAGTACCATGGACATAACAGAGTATAGTGTTTCGCCCATGATACCCCCCGTGCGTTGCCATTCTTGAGGACTCAGGTGTTATTCCTCTGTACCCAGTAAATTCACGCCATATCCCACCCTTCAAACCGAAACACAGCCATGCCACAATTATATTGTAAGGTTAAATTGAAAAATAAACGAAACAAAATTCTTAGAAATATATTTGAAAAAACAAGCTAAATGGCTCATAATTTTTCGTAATTATATTTATTTACTTTGAATTATATTTGAGTATAGATGTAAAATATGTTATTATTTTTGAATTGTTATTGAAGAACCACCATTTTAATTAATAGACGTATATTAGTTTATGAGCAATACGTATACGTTTAGTTACGAAAATAATTCCATTTTAGCTATTAAGTTTTAATCAAATTACTTACAAAACTAAATAAACGTATTTGCATTTGATTTAAAAAAAATTGTCAACCAAATGTCAAATTAGCTTATTAAATTTTGACTGGTCTTTGACACTCGAATCATAATCTATATAATTTAAAATCTAGCAAAATTATTGTACTTACAGTTGTAATTTAATTATTGCAATCTAATCTCAACGTCA